CTGTTTGTAAATGTATTGTTAAGAGACTTCTGCTTCTTCTCCTTATCCCCTCCTACTATGAACGCAGAGCAGCAAAACAATCTCTCCTCCTTCTCTTTACCTCAGCTGTTTCTGGTGACCTGCCTTTTCCCCTGAGACCTGGTTGGGGGAGGGAGTGGGGAGGAGAGGGTGCAGCAGTGGAGGTTTTACAAATGCTAGGGAGGCTGGCCTCCACCATGGTTTACAGGGGACCTGTGGAAAGTGTTGAGGATGTATGGTGATCCTTAGATGTTCGCCAACTCCCAAATGCTAACTGAATACTGGGATCCGCAGCCTTTAACTCTTGAGAAGAGACAGTGTCAGCAGGGACCCTGGCTCACCGGAGATCTGAAAGTGGCTGCTAGAAGATCCCTGCCGTCTCCGTATATCACAAAAGTGAAATGAAGAGTTGTTTGTGGGGAAGGCTTTTTTCTGTTGTGACACGCAAGGCTAGTTAGTGTGAATGGAGTCTAGCAACTCCTTTAACACACAAGGCTTCGCTGGGTACGAGCTTTGTGCTGGGGTGTAGTGTGTGCTTTCTGCAGGTGTTGCAGCATCACATGAAAGTCCAGCATACAATTATGAGTGATTTGGCAGAGCCACCCTGCACTGAGAGCTAATAGTCTTTCAAGATCATAGGTACTTGCCTTTGCTTTCTCTGCCTTGGAGATTGAAGTTCTTACAGAGCAGGGTCATGGCCTGCGCATCTAAAAGTGAGCTTGTCATTGTCCCTAACACATTTGAATTCTTTTGCTGGTGTTGAGCCTGATGCACAGAGGTCCTGGCTGTTTGTCAGATAAACTCCCTCGTGGATGCTGATGCACAGCAGAGACCTACAGCTTTCTTCATGTAGGCCTTTCTCATGGTGACTGCTTTCATTAGAGCCCTGGCTAGTTTTGAACTGAACTGGCAACTTGGGGATTAAAGGCATTGTATCTCCTTGCCAGCCCTCAAGGACCAAACAAAGAGGGCCTTGAGTCTAAAAAGGTTGAAAACCAGTGATGTAAGATTTAAATCATTCATGTTTAAACTACTGCCAATTCTCTAAGGTGTGTGCGCCTAGAGAAATAGGGAACAATGGCTTATCTTGGAGGATAAAAAAAAATCTCATTTGCTCTAATTTTTGGCAGCAGTGAAAATACTGGTATCCTGGTCTTTCCAAAGCAAGTAGTTTAATGTAGTAGTAGAGTAGAATGCATCCAGGAAACGAGATGATTTGCCACTCCAAGGAGAATGCAAATAATGGCAATTTTTTGTGGTGACCAATTATGAGGAGTAGATGGGGAGGGACATTAATGGGGAACTGAAAGAATGGTGAGTTAAACTACAGTGGCCAATTATTTTACAGGTGAATTAGCCAGGGTTTACTGTATAAAGCAGTGATTCTCAACTGGGGTGTCTTGAGATCCTTTCAAGGGTGTTGCAAGGGGTCTCATAATGTTAGCACTGTTAGGTTTACAAACATGATTCACAAAATAGACCCACAGATTTCGAATAGAAATTCATAGTTGTGGTCTTTTGAAAGTTATTTGCAACAGAAAAACTGATCTATTTTTCTGAAGGCAAAAAAGAGTGAACATTTTAAGAGGTGGCATTTTCCAACAGGTGTCTCGAGTCTAGAAAAGGTTGAGAACCACTGGTATAAAGAGACAGCATTCCTGGTGGTTAGAGAACAAGAAGGAACAAGGATTTTTAATTATGAAGCTGCTGAGGATTTGAAGTATGACACTGGGTAAGTTATTCAACCCTTCTCTCTGGTTTCCTCATATGTGCATTGATTTTGGATTTTAAACTTCATTGCTGAACAGCAAGAAAGATTTCTACACTTCCCTGCTTGCCATCTGACACCTCCAGGAAAGGAAATCCTACCTGATCTGCACGACAAAGAGCAACTCAGAACAACTCACAAAGACACTTTCGTGGACCCAGAGGGACGGATTTCCATCTTCAGCTTCCTCTGTGCAAAATGAAGCTTATTTCCTACCTATGGGGACTTTTTACCATTTTTTAATTTTCCCTGAGCCTGATGAAGGGTCCTTGAGCCTGAAAGCTTGCAGAAAAAGATTTTTTTTTTTTGTGATGTCCTAGTTGGTCTAATAAAAGGTCATTTCTGAACCAAGAGTTCTAGATGTTTGCATTTCTTAAGGGGTAATGTACACACGTGCATATCTGTACTTGTTTGGTAGCTGGCTCTTTAAAAGGGAGCTGGGGTCCAGCTTCACCTGCCTCTTGGCTGTGTCCCAGCTGAGACTGTTGTACCAAAGCCCTGGAGCAGGAGGCTCTCTGGCAGACAGCCTCTCTATTATTCAGGCAGGTGGTCTAGAGCAGTGGAGACAATCATTTTGGCAGGTGTGCTACAAATTAGCAATGTACCCCCTTTTAGTGCCACTCCAGTCCCCTTTCCCTGTCTGCTCTCATGCTTTACTGTGCCCAATCTGCTGCTCTGCTTTCTGCTTCCTGCCCTCTATCCCTGCCTAAGCTGCTGCTCTGCTTTCTGCCTCCTGCTCTATCTGCTGCAGTGCTGCCCGCTCCCTCCCTGTGCCACACACAGAGCCTGCCTGTGCCAGTTGTGGTGCACGTGCCACAGGTTAGCTACCCCTGGCTTAGCAAATGGAAGCCTGCAAGAAATTAGCAGACCCTGGGGGAGGGCAGTTAATGTAGACTTAGCTAATTTTTTCTGCAGGAGAAATAAAGCTGAGAAAAAAGATCTGAACTGAGTGCGGTGTCAGCCTGTCCTAAGCCTGGCAGAAAAGGGCTCATCGCATAGTGGGATGAAGAGCTAGGATCAATAAGTAGGATCTCTAACACTGGTTGAAGTCACTTGTTTGGGGTGATCTGTGTTGGGTGATCACTTGGCAATTTATACAGTCTTGTCATAGGTATCTCACAGGCACACTAGAAATCAGAACCCAGGATACTTGACTTGCGCTGTTGTCTAATGCTAGAGCAGGTATCTCGGGGAATCTAGATTTCCTGCTTTCACATTCATGCCATTCAAGACTGCAGCTTTTATTGTGTCATGCACAGGCAACTTCAAATGCGCCACTGGCTCTGCATGTGCATATACTGCCTAGACGGGAATGAGCATAACCATGTATGTGGTGCCGTGGGCAGGCTAATAGCTACAGCTGAGATTCCACAGTTTCGTTTGTCCGCAGTACCATGCAGACTCAGCTCCTCTGCACCCAGTCTGGGCAGTCATGCATAGAGTCAAATGGCACTTTTAAGGGTGGTGCTGGGCACAGTGAGCTTGTGGCCTATATGTGGCTTTGTGTTTTGGTGGTAAGAATGGGAAAGAAAGCGAGAGCCCCTGGCATAGGATTGTTCCCATGTAAATAGTTTATAACAGGAAAAATCATTAGCTCTTGGGATTCCTTCCAGGCAGCCATATCCCCACCCAGACTGGTAGCCATTCAGCCTTCGTTCCCTTGAGCCACTGAAATGAGACTTTCTCTTTGTAAACTGAGAGGGTGTCAGTAGATGCGAGCAGCACTCTAATGAGAGCAGTAAGAATAAGTTTTCCAGTTGGCAGAGGAAGACTTGAAATGAGACCGTGACGCTGCTGCCCCTTGGTCGAGGGAGATCTGAGCTGCAAGAGATGTCACGGGGGCAGAAGAAAAAGCCTGTTCCTTATGAAGGCAAGACTTGAAAATAATCCTGTTTGTTTCATATGTCTACGCATTGGGAGCAAACTGGTGGCCTGATGGAGCTTTTTTGCTAAGATGAACATGTAATGTGGAGACTTTAGAAGGAGAAGGAAATTCTTGTGGAATTGTTTTGTTGCAGGCAAAATGCCTTCATTTTCGGAAGAATGGGGCATTTCCATTGGTAGCGCGCCATGTGTTCCCAGAATTATGGAGTATGGAATTAGGCCATCTTAAATTCCCTACTAGAAATTGTCCAGGTTGTGTGTCTATTAGAGCAGAAAGTGAAACATCCCCAGATTAATCATCCAGGCATTTATTTTCAGTTTCACTTTCTGACTTCCCTGTGTTAACACAGTGCCACAGTGTTCAGGTTCCAGATACTTTGGGGGGAAGTTTTAAATCCAGACAAAGAGCTGCTTTTTTAGACTCTTTAAAATCATGGCAGTGTTCTGTTCATTAGACTTTGAAACTAAACTGAAATATCTTTTCACTAAGTCTAAATCTGGGGCCACAGGAAATAACTGCAGTACAGGTACAGCTGACTTTACGTAAGCAGCTTGTAGCGTGCCCTCCTGTCCCAGTTATAGACACTGCCCGTGTGTCTCTATTGCCTTGATCGCAGCCTTTGTGTCCTACAACCCCCTCGTCGAACCAGGTCTGTACATCTGCTTCTGTGGTCTGTATTCTGGTATTGCAACAGGTTACCAAGCTCTGATTATAGGGAATCAACCAAGTTCAGCTTTAATGTAAGGACAGGAGTGAAACGGTGTTAATTGCCCCAACTTCTGAATGTGAGGCACGTTAGCTCCAGGCTGCCCACTCTTTCCTGCCATAAGTGATCAGAGGTCTGTCATGAAAATGCGGCACAAACTATGACCAGGAATTGTTGTGCTGAGAAATTTGGGCAGTTGTTTTGCATCATAGGGCTAAGACATCTGTTCACTTTGGTTTTGTGCTGCCATAAAAGTTTTGTTGTAGTGCAGAAGCGACGTCTGTTCGCAGCCTCAGACTAACATGGCTAACTAACTCTACTTGGGGCACTAAAATTGCTTTTCCACATGCGGATTTGGAGGAGAAGTCTACTGAAGCTCAGTTGCTTTCCCTAACGGGTGGACGTGGGAATCAAACTCTTGCTTCTTCAAATGAAATTGTTTTGAGATTTCTCCGAATGTGTTGGGAAGCAAATAAAAAGTTTCTACACCCTTGCCACTCGCCCCCTCTCCCCCCACCATTTTCCCACATCTGAATGCATACAGCCCTTGAGGTTGCAGGGCTTACGTAAAATGCCAAATGCAAAAACAATACAAATCTCACTTTTTTTTTTTCTTGTCAAGTGAGTCTGCTCACAAAACAGATCTGATTTGCAGACTCGGAGAGCTGTAGGACCGACACTTTCTGAACCTTGGTCTGCTCTGATGAATCTTGCATTAGGAGCACAGCTGGGGAAGCACTTAGAAAGGCCATGTCTGGTGACAGTAGTTAAAACTTGGGAGAATTAATAGGATCTCTCCAGGATTCTTCCCGCACTGTTATTTGTGGATCTGTCAAATGGAGCCCTGTTTTGCCATAAAATGTATTGGGGAGGAAGTTGGGTTTTTGGAGTCCTGACCTTACAGACAGATTGAGGTTAAAGAGTAGCTTTTTTTAGAACTGATTTAAAATTAAACTATGTTAAATACCACTTCTGATCACAGTTTACATTAAAGTGAACTGGAACCTCTCCAACCTTTTATAGGGGAGGAGTGAGGGTGGTCACAGAGAAAAGAAAATGCAGCCATTTTGCTGTCGATCAGACTTCCTTTATACAAAAGGTACTTTAGCTGGTAAATAAACCTTGCAGCACTGAAGACCATATGACTTTTATGTGACTGGCAAAACAGGATAAAATGCTGTGTTCCAGAACGGGGGAGCTGGAACTGGATGGCTAGTTTTGAAAGGTTTCTCTCTCTCTCCCCCCTCCCTTTTTTCTTTTCAGGGTGATACAGTATTCATTCTGTGTGTCCTGAATTTAGGGCGCCCAGAACAGTAGAAATAACCTCTGGAGATGAACCTTGCTTCAATAGTGCTGAACTAAATGACTTCATAAATCTTTTCCATCTCTAATTTTTTGTGACTGAAACTTTAACTTTTTGCCTCCTCCATAAACCACAGATGTGTGTGTGTTCCATAATTGCATGTTTTTAAAATCCATTTATTTTTTAGATGTTAACTTTGTTCTTCCTTTCTTTGGCTTGGCATTTGTTTTTAAGTGAAATTTTGTATGAAATTTATGAAAAGTGACAGGTTGAAGTAGCTTATCATGATATAACAGAGTAGTGATAGTGGTAGTGCAAGCTTTGGGGCAGATGAGTCATAAAAACATTCTCTCTCTGGACCAAATCATGAACAACTTACTTCTGTTTTTGTTCAGTGACTCGAGAGTAGCCCCAGAAAATTGTCACAATCTGGCTGTGAGAAAGGAGGATGATTTTGTGGCTGAAGCACTGGTTTTGCACCTGGGAAATCTGGATTTGGTTTTTCCAGCTCTGTTGCAGCTTTCTTCTGCAGGTGTTCAATGCCCAGCCCAACAAGGCTCTGATCTCAAGTGGAGTCTCTAAGTGCTGGCTCTATATTCGGCTTCTCTCACTGTCTTACCAGTAAGACTCAGTATTTCCCTGCAGGATCACTCCTAAGAATGAGAAAGGAGTTCAGGGTCCACATCCCAGTTGGGCCTTTTGGCCCTTGTGCTGAGAACACCAAAAAGCGACTTTCAGTGAGCACCACATTAAGTTATAGGTCAGAGAGGGATGAGCCAACTTACTTGAGCTCAAAAATACCACATTTTCATGCTTTTCTGCAGGGAAAGATGTGCACTTGCTCTTAGAGCTAGTCTTCAACAAATTTAATTTACCAACAGGTAGGATGGTGTGCAGGAGCATCCTGTAGTTTGTGAAGAGCTTTGAAGCAGCATCCTATGGAGTATCGCTGTTCTAGTAAGAAACTTTGGTGCACCCTGGTCTGGGATGCAGCCGAAACTACATATGGTTCAAGAGAGATCTTTCATGTTCTTCCATGGCATTGGTATTGGGAGGCTCTCCATTTCTGG